TCCTTTGGAAAATACATCGAATCAGGACACATTTTGAAGAGATACGAATGCACATCTTGGAATATTATGCAAGAAGTAAGTTGAGAGAAAAATGGGGGGAGTCTTGAGAAGTTCTTGAAATGGTTTGTGGAGGAACTTTTGGAGAGAGAGAGATTTTTCAGGCACTTCAGGCACCAAAAATTTACTTTATCATTTTTGTTTTTAGTTTTATTGTGAGAGTTAAGAGTGTTGTAAGAGAGAAGAGATTCAAAGGAACTTCAAGATTTTTGTGGAGGATTTGAGATAAGTTTTATCTTTGTTTTTAAACTACTTTTGGTTTTAATTGAGACTTCTTGTTGGTTTGACAATGATTTCTACTTTTAAACTAAAGTGTGATTTTGATTTTCCATGGATTCTGAGTAGTTTTCTTTATCTTTCTCCTTAAAATGATAAGTAATTAAAGTGTTGGATGGAAGTTGTGGAGAGTATTAATCTTTAATTTTAAAATAAGTTGTGATGATTTAATTCCTTATACTTCATTTACTTCTTAATCTAGCCCATCTAGATGTTAAAATTTGTTATGAGAACATGTAAGAACCGGGCTGGTATTGTCTCAGTCAACAATTGGAAAGAATCACATAAGATTGTATGAATAAGAATATAATTCCTATGATCTGTGTAAAAAAATAGGGAAATAATTAGAGGACTTTAGAGTGACAGGCTAAAGCCCCCAACTTGATTTATTGTTTTAGGTTCTGATACAAGATGTTACCCCCAGATGGAGGGAATCGAGGGAACTCTAGAGTGAGAGAAAGTTACCCAAAATATCCAAATTCAACCACTCCAAATTCCTATTCCAAATTCAAATTCAATTTCACCAAACACCAAATTAAAACCCAAACTGCCCAATTTTAGGCCAAATGTCCAAATCCATACCAAAATTCCACCAACTCCAAAAATCCACCAAATTTGGCCAACACCAATTCAAACATACTAAACATAAAATCAATTTTTTCATGACAATTCCAAGCCCGAAAAACCAATTTTCCTTAACCCATCCTAAAAGCCCAAATTAATTCCTTCATGACAAAATTTAAAAGCCCATGAATGAAGCCCAATTTCAATTTCAAATAAGCCCATCATGACGAATTTCAACCCCATCAATTTTAAAAGAAAGGAAATCAAAATTAGACATCATGGCCATGCCCCATGCATCCATGTATGAACCCATCTACTTTTGGTCCCATGGACTCTCTCACCAAAATTTTAAAATCCCCAAATTCCACTTTCATGAAAATTACCCATGACCTCATGCATGTCATGAAACCACTCATGGAACCATCCATGAGCATCATATGGGTCATATACACCAAATATCACAAAAAGAGGACCTCCTTTCACCTCACACTAAGTTGACTTAACGAAAACCCTAATTCACATTCCCCATGCCTAATCAATCACCCAAGCTTCTAGAAGTTTACCCAACAACTCCAGCCACCTTGGACTTGACCCCAAGCCATTTCCATGTGGTTTAACCAATTGTTAACCCATCATGGCCCAAACCCAATGCTCAAGAGTTTGAGTCTTGAATAAAGTATTCAAAATACTTATGAGCAACTTAAGATAGTTGTTTTAACCACATATTGATCATCAGACTGGTGTAAGTCTTAGGTTCAGGTGGTAGGGGCGATAACGACATTGCTTATGTGTGCTAAATAAGGGATATGTAGTGGGATATTAAAATAATATCACCTACCTCAAGGATCCTCAATAAGGAGAGAGAATAAGACCGATGATATTGTTCACCAACACTTGGTAAGAAGTTAACCCCTTACACTTTTAAGTTGTCGTTATTTTTAGTTTGATTATGATGATTAACTCATGGACAATCTATATTTTCTAAAACATATTTAAATGTAATTAAAATAGGATTTTCTAAAAATAACATTGCTTTTGACTGCTAAACAAAGTATTGTATGCATGAAAAAGTAAAAGAGCTTAAAATACAAAATTATGAAAGTTCACTGGTTAATCATCTTGATTAGGCTAGAACATGCTCTCCTGAGATTGTTTGGCCGATAGATTCTTTCCAAGGTTAGAAGCACACAACTTAGCTCTGAGCCCCCACCTTTAATAAAGTCGTACATTCAGCCTGGTCTTCCATATGTGATAACGAGTGTTGTTTTGCTCGATTTGTATTTTTTAATGATTTACTCGAATTTCCTAAACTTTCTTAAATTTCTTGCATTTTATTATCTTACAAATTTTTGCAATAGTAATAGAGGCCCAAATACACGCATTTATATTTTACAACATTTTTTACTACAACAATTTCTTTTACTTCCCCTTTACTTTTGCATTCATTAATTGCAAGACCTTTACGATACAAAATAGTAATCGGTTTACCTAGGATGGATCGCTACAAGACATAAACACATGCCTTTTAAATAATTGGATTAACAACAATTAAAGGGAAAACAAAGACATAAGATACTAAACCCGGAGCAGCTACCAACAAGGAGTTTGGAGCAAGCCGAAGCAGATGGAGGACGATAATCTACAACGATAAAACAAGTATACATCAACTAAACTTTCCATATAATTAAAAATGAGCCATAGGAATTTGAGGTATCTCGTTTAGCACAACATAAATCCTTAATTTATGTTTAGGCCTTCGCACAACCATCTTGTGCAATATAAAAACTAACTCTTTTTAGGCTCTAAGGTTGTCGCTTGTTACGTCATAACCCTCCTATCTCCTAGGTCATTTGTATGATCGTGTCATGCAAATGTAAGCCTTAAATAATAAAATTGGCAGAATGAAACATCAAAATAAATATCTTTTCTAAAATTTAAGCCCAACAGTAGGATAGCTTGGGAAGTCTCTGAAGTTTGCTGATGTCCTGTGACATCCCCTAATTTTTACTCATTTGACTCTTAAAATATTTGTTCTTACTTGATCCTTTCCCACTTGTTATTCCTTATAAACTACTTGAAAACCTAAACTCTTAAAATCTTCAAGACGAAACCCTTAATCATTATCAAGATTTTTCTCAAAAGACTTTGGTCATTTGAGATGTAATTAACTATATGGGTTTGCCTCTATAGGGAACTTTAGAACCCAGGTAATATAAATCATATCTAATCTTTTTTATTAGATATGAGAACTTATCGATCAACATAAAAGTTTTCACAGACAAAACGAATGTCATAAATTTATTAATTTATTTAATTGAGCCTCAGTATCAAGTAATGTGTCTATTCTTCAAGATAGGTGTGTTGCTCGTGGTGTCGTGCTCGTTTATTTAAACTAGTTGTAATTGTCAATTCAAACTAATTCTAGCCCTTAATAAATAGATGAATATTAAATATAATAAGTGTTGTTGATACTACATACAAAAATACCCCATCTCTTTCTTTGTATGTTCTCTCCCTCTCATTCTATGAATTCAATATAATATCTACACAGAGAGAGAGAGAGAGAGAGAGAGAGAGAGAGAGAGATTTCCAACCCAAGCATTGTATATTGAATGAATATGCAATGTGGCGCGTCATGGCTTGGAGATCATGAATTGGGAACCAAGTCAAAAGAATTCTACATACAAAAACACCCCATCTCTTTCTTTGTATGTTCTCTCCCTCTCATTCTATGAATTCAATATAATATATACAGAGAGAGAGAGAGAGAGAGAGAGAGAGAGAGAGAGAGAGAGAGAGAGAGAGAGAGAGAGAGAGAGAGAGAGAGAGAGAGAGAGAGAGAGAGAGAGAGAGAGAGAGAGAGAGAGAGAGAGAGAGAGAGAGAGAGAGAGAGAGAGAGAGAGATTTCCAACCCAAGCATTGTATATTGAATGAATATGCAATGTGGCGCGCCATGGCTTGGAGATCATGAATTGGGAACCAAGTCAAAAGAAGTCTACGAATCAGCCCACTTGATAGGTTAAAATCTATTAAAAAAAAAAAAACAAATGCAACCAAGTCATATGACAACTACAAGCGATCCAATCATTAGTTAAAAGATAATTGCATTGTTTAAACATATATAAAATTGTTTTTGTCAGGATTATCTCAACAAACTGCCTGGTCACATAAGCATGCCAAAATTCAACAACCCACTATTGTCATGGCGTATTCATGAACTTAATTTGTATTATTTATAATTATTATCATTTCATTATCATATATTTGGTGGGTCGATACAACTTTTGCTAGGTGCATTTACATGCATACATCCCAATTCTTATGTATGTAAATATCTTATAACTAAATCCTTTATTATTATTATTATTACATTTATACCACCCAAATCTTTCATATCTAATCTAAAATGCATATCTAAGACCATGTTTATGTAAAAATTGAAGTTTAGATGTTGGACATGTAAATACGAAAGAATTGAATGGTATGTATGTAAATCCTCTTTTTTATTAATTGTGAAAAAAATTTAAATAATAGTGCCATAATTCTTATTTAGAAGATTTACATGAATACAACATAATTTTCTTGGATTTACATGACTAATATCTAAACTTTAATTTATATATATATGTCAACTTAATCATGCATGACACAGTGTATTTTTCTTTTTAAAAGTTAAAATATTGATATTTTTTATGAGGGTTTATTGCATACGGGCGCAGCACGCAAATTTGTGTACGCTATCCGATCTGGACCACTGAGGACCACTGAAATACATTTTTATTTTTTTTATTGTTAGAGTGAGACCCACTTTAAATTTGTTACGGTGTACGCACGCAATAATTTTTCATTTTTATATATGTTATTTTAATGAGAGATTATTTTGACACTTCTATAAATTTTAAGATGACCCATATAAATAGTGAGTGACTATTTTAGCACTTTTGTCTCACATTTTTATCATGACTTGAAAGATTATGATGGTATAATTGTAAAAAGTAAATGCTAGAGGTTATTTGTGTAAATACAAATATGTAAATGCCTCTGCTAGTAAATCAAAGTGGCGCTGCGGACGAACATTCCAATGCCTGGTGCGCTCTTTATAAAGCGCGTTCTTCTTCAGGTTAGCTCGCTTTCATTTCGCCGGAGGAGAGAAGAATGGCGGTGGTGACGGCGAGCGGAAAGGCGGAGCCGACGGTGATTTTAGTGGGTTTAAATAACAGCGAGGAAAGTTTCTACGCGCTGGATTGGACCCTCCGCCACCACTTCTCCGGCGAAGCCAAGCCCGGAGCTGCTGATTGCAAGCTCGTCGTTGTCTACGCTAAACCTGTTCCTTCCTCCGCCATCGGCTTAGGTGCCCTAGGTTCGTTTGCTTTCCATTTTTATTTTTTCCTATTTTGCATAAGCTGCTGGTAAGAGGATATACATCTTCATCTAAAGTTATTCTATTATTTACATATCTAATCTCTAAAGCTATTTGTTTGCTGATTGGATATACAAATATTGACATTATATTTAAAATATCAACTCCCTTCACATGCCTCAAGTCTTGTGATGGCTTGATATATTGCATCCAGAGTCCGGACAAGTCAGGACGGAGGAGAGGATAAAAAAGGAAAAAAGAAAAGTATCACGTCTGTTGTCCGAACGTAGCTTGCGTCTACTTTTTCTTAGATCACACCAGTAGGGGTTGGCAAACATATCACAAACTAGTTAATGGATCGAAGTATAAATCCGAATTATAAAAATTCAAACCGACTAATCTCTTTCTAAAGACGGTCCAAATTAAATTGAAAAGTAAGGTGTAATTGGATAGGTTTGGAGTAAATCAAAATTTAGCATTTGATTCTATTTTAGATAAAAATAAATAAGGCGCAAGATTCTATTTCTTAATTAAAATTTTATATCTTTTTGAAATTACAAGTTCTAAACTAAATTAAAATAAGTATATAATACGTGTAATTTATTTTTTCCAAATGAATTTGGTTTTCTAATCCTAATATTATTCGATTTTTTTTATTTATTTCATTTATGAATATTAAAATAGATTTAAAAATTTGAAATTTGAATATACAAGTTTTAAAAATAAAAATTAAATTATGATTTTTTAAACTAAGCTAAATCAGCCAAATAAACTCAAATCGATTTTTTTTTTTGACCAATCAATGCACACCCCTAGCGGTTAATCTCTTTGATGTTCTTCCTCCAATGAGATCCCTCTACAATATTGTTCCTCATTTTCATCATTGAGCGCTTCCATATATTTAATAGAAACGAGGAGATGAAGTTAACAGTCATATAGGCTAGTAAATGTGGAGTTTTTGGTGTGAAATATATTAAATAGTGTAATTTCAAATGTTATGTAATTAAATCAATATTTAATAAAACGAGGATTTATAAACTAACCATTTGAATTACATATATATATAGCATCTAAAGTTTAGTATTTATTTTATGAATCTATATACGTTTTATAAATCTCGCCCGAGGAATAGAGCGTAGGACAGATAAGAGCAACAGAGAGGAGAGAGAGAAAAAATAGTAATACAAGTGTTTTGATATAATAAATCTATAGTCCTTTATTGTGGAAATGACCCCGTGTTTATAAATTTTACCTCATGTGTAATTACATGTTTGTTCCTATTTTAATATTTACATCACAAGAAATTATGACACATTTTCATATTCGTAATCGGCTCCGACACCTTTTCATACTCATAGCCGATCTTCGCACCGTTTCGTATTCATAACCGCATAAATAGGGGTGTTTGATGACCCAGTAACCTTATCACTTAGTCAGATGGAAGCCTTTGGTCTGCCGATAGACATTCGGTCATCCTTTTCAAGAGATAATTCTGAGAAGAAGCCCTCTCGTCGTTAGGATAAACTGGATCGTCAGGTTGAGGGTATGGCTGACAACTCTCCTTGGACAAGAAGCCTTCTGTTGGATTGGGCTACTCCTATTTCTTCATTCGATTGTGCTTACATTCAGTCGGTTCAGTGTTATGACCGAAGAAACCGACACTTGATGTTTCTAACTTTTGACTTATTACACTGTGCTTTGGTGTTTGTCAGTGGGACCTATTGAATTTTCTCAAGTATTGTGTGATCATATGTTTTATGTACATATTTAGTACCTCGATTCTCTTACTTTTTGAAAGTGATAGTTGCGATAAGAATAAGAGAATTAAATAAAAGATTGACTTATTATTTACATAATAAATGCTTTTGACATATTAACTTTTTGATTTTCGTACCATAGTCTCTATAAATAAGGTATGATCGACACTTTTCCATCACTTTTCTTAGTTTCTCGCCTTTTTATCGGTTATCAAAAGGACATTTTATGAAGAGTTTAGGAATCGAGTGAGGGAGCCGGTAATAAAGGACCGCCCCTCATATTGCGCTCCTTCTATTTCTTCATTCAGTTGGCTCAAAGTTCCGATCGAAGGAACCATCACTTGATATTTCCCTTTTTTGACTATTCTTATGCACTAGCTTTTGGTTGAAACCCAGTAAATTTTCTTGATATTCATGCAAACATGTTTTTAATGTACATTATTTATATATATCTTAGTGATTAAATCTTATGAAAATATAAGCATTAAAATATTTATTCGCTTCACATTAGTTATTGTTACCAATAGTTGTTATATGATTTAAGGATTTTAATATTAAAAATAAGTATAATAATTTTTATATTGGATAATTAGAATTCATGTTGTAAATTTGGCAGAAACACAAACCAAAGATTTGATTCATGAAACACTGATCCATATCAAATCATCAAGAGAAACGAAACTAAAATACATAAATATATCTTGATTCATGATTACTTGTAGTTATGGGTTGTTATCTTTCATATCGATGTGTGTTCCTTAAATCTTTTATGCTGATGAGATTTGAGACAATAGAAAATCTTCTTTCTTTTGGAAGGAATGAAGAGAAACTTACACACATGAAATGTGGACTGTAACCCGTTAAGATAACTACTAAAGATTAGTTATTTCCTGCATATTTGTACTTCTAATTTTGTTCATCATATAAGCTAAAAATATAACTAGATCTCTACACATATGATTTAGACTATATTTTCATTTTTAATACTCATATATAGGCCTATCAGTATAACCTTATTAGATCACAAATTAAGCATAACTTCAAGATAGCATAAATAACACATTTATTTACACATGTTAGCCCACATAAAATAACTATTTAATTATTTTCCAATAATTCCCATTTGGAGCACATTTGTTACCATATAAATGTGTTCGCTTTAGTGAGAGCAAGCTTGATTATCATATATAATAACATTCTTTATCAATCTCATCCATTGATTATATCAATATAGGACCAAAGCGAGCTTCATCACAAGTACAACATGATTAGACTTACCAATGATCATATATATAAATACAACCAAATGACAGAGATCAAATATGGATGTGTAAAATGAAACCTTCATGCAATGTGATCCATACATGTCTAATTCCAACTAATCCAAGCTTAAACTTTAATGAGATCAGAAACCAAATAAAAATGAGAGTGAAAATTAAACCATATTTTTAATTTTTACAAAAAGCACATAATTTTTATACTTTTAAATGAATATAAAATCTAAATACAAACTCAACTAAAATTATATATTGTAGAGTAACTGAACACCCATATGAGCACTATGTTCATGAAAGACCTTTCTTAGTGAGTGGATCTGCAATCATCGAGTTTGTGTCAATGTGTTCTATAGACATTTAACCATTCTAATCTCTTTCTTTAACAACAACGTACTTTAATCTCTATATGTTTTGATTTTGAGGAACTCCAATTGTTTTCGAAATATATAACTGTATATTTATTGTCACAAAATTACTTAAATGATATTTCTATACTTTTCACATTTTGCAACACAATGATAAAGTTTCACAAACATATTTCATGTTTAGATGCTTCATAATATGTTACAAACTCTGCCACCATAGTGGAAGAAGCTATCAGTGACCGCTTAACCTTAATTAATATTTTTGGACAAATATATTACAATTGAGAAATAGCACCACATAAATTTTTTGAACAAATATATTGCAATTAAAAAACAGCACCTTTATTTTTTTAAATTTTTAATAAATTATCATTTTAGCAAATAACACAATAAATATGTATATTCACATAAATTTATAGTGGCATATGATATTGAAGTAAAGAACATGAATAAATTGTTCACTTCAACTCAGCTTAATGTCACGGACAAATAGTCCCACATCGGCTAGGTGTAGGGCCGAAAAACAGTATTTAAGTCCTGGGCTGCCCACCACCCACAATGGGCTCTTTTGGGAGGTGACAAGTGGTATCAGAGCAGATTACTGTCTGCCAAATGTGTGGACTCTGTGGACTCTCCAGGGTCCAGTGGGCCCCTGGGTGGAGCCGATCCGTGACGAGGACGTCACGTGATTGGGTGGAGTAGAATGTCATGGACAAATAGTCCCACATCGGCTAGGTGTAGAGCCGAAAAACAGTATTTAAGTCCTGGGCTGCCCATCACCCACAAGGGCTCTTTTGGGAGGTGACATTAAGCACATGATCATCATGAAAAAAAAGCTCAAGATAAATTTATAATTCTAATTTCTTGAAGATAAATATATGATATAAAAACTAATTGATTAATTTTTTATCATCTCATAATACATTTTTATAATTTCTATTCCTGACAAAATTGAATCGATTTATTTGATGTCCGAACTTGATTAAAAAAAATTTTTTTTTTTTGAAGGAACTGTTGATATTCTGCCCTCTGTGGAGTGCAAATTAAGCGAAATTGCTGCGTCTGTAATTGCAGAGGCTCGCGAGCTCTGCGTTGCCCATACGGTAATGCTAATAATTAGCTTTTATTTAAAAATGAATGCATGTTAATATGATTTATTATTATTTCCATTCTATCTCATTTTGGTCTGTCATCTTTTCTAACCATCTTTTGCATAAATAAATATATAGATAAGGTGTATATTGTCTACTTGGGAGCTTCATGATAAAAATTGAATGCTTATCTCATGATATATAAATGACCAAAAATGCATAAAAGTAATAAAAAGTATATTTATAGATTGACTACTTTGGAGCTTCTTGATGAGTAGTATTTTAAATATATATATATATATATTTGATGAGAGTATTTTAAAAAGTTTAATTAACTACAAGGCTACAAAGATTTATAATCAATTGAAAGTATTAATTAAGAAAATGGAATAAAAATTATTAAATTAGATTCAAATGATGTTTTAAATCTTGCCCCAATCCTTAACATTTTATGGCTACGTGACTAGGGTTGTCAAAATAACTCTTTGTTCGTGAACGGCTCGTGTTTGGCTCACTAAGAAAACGAGCCGAACACGAACACACTTTTTGAGCTCGAGCCTGGGCGGGCTCACTCGTGTTCGGCTCATTTACACCTCTAACAGAGCAGTTTGATAATTATGTTTTGTATTGTTAACATTGATCTTTACATGCATAGCATGATGCATTAGAATTGTGTGGTAGGTAGGTATGTAAATGTCTCTTATTAGTAGTGGGCATTTACTTACATAACACAAAATTCTTATGTATTTACATATCTCATATCCAAACTTTCTTATTTACACATGTAACAATCAAATCTTCAATATCATATCAAACAAAGCATAATTACCATAATTTAAACCTGAAATACACATTTTCATGCATTGGTTTAAAACACCAGAGTGCTATATATATGTAAATATGGATGTTCGAGGGAGAGATATGTAAATAAATAAGAATCGTGGATCAATATGCTTATTTTTAAAATGAGTAAGAAAAAAGTTTCAATGATGGATTTAAGATTCATAATTAAACTACTTTAAGTAGAAGATTAATTCACAATGATAAAGCATAAATGAATAAAAACTTGATTTATAATTTCTGCTGAACTTTGAAATGCATCACCTTATATTATATTATTATTCATGCTATTGGTGTTCATCAAGCACAGACCAGCGAAGTTGTCTATGAGATAATAGAAGGAGAAGCCTCAAGTGTACTTTGTGATGCTGTGGAGAAGTTTCAAGCTGATTTGCTGGTTTTGGGAAGCCATGGTTATCCAGCAATTAAGAGGTATGCCTACATTAAATAAATTATATATGTCCATGCGTGAAAGATGATAAAATTAATATTATAATAAAATGACAAAATTAATGAACAATTAAGATATAAATTATAAAAATCATTTTATATAAGTTCTAAAATATCATTTTTAAAATCTTTAATAATTAAAAAAAATATTAAATTTTAATATATTTTGAATATATTTTATATTAATATTTTTCTTAAACTAGCCGGCTTGCAAATGTGTAAGACTAAATTACACCCTTCTAGTAGGAGCGCTATTTACGTAAGGAGTACACACACATAGTTTTGCGTGTGTACTCCTCCAAACAACCTTCAAATAACTCAGTTATTGAGGGTTTTTGTGAGGTTATTCGAGTATTAATTTCAATAACCTCACAACAACCCCCAATAACTTACCAATATATTTCGCAGTTCCGCGCTCATATATTTTGTTGTTATTCGAAAGTTTTGTCAAGTTATCGAGAGTATTGGCCCCAATAACACCGACATAACCTTCCAATATCACCCGAATAATCTCTATATGCATGCAAAACTGCTTGTGTGCTCCGTATGCAAATATTTTTCCTCTAGTAGAAACAAAAAGAAACAATTTGAGGATTTTTTTTTAAATTTATTTAACGCCATATATGTCCACATTTATTTGATCCCAACTCTACCTTTAAATGCAAGAGATGTTTGATGAGAAATTGAATATACTTTTTCTATTTTTCTTAAAAAACTTATATTAACAAATGCCTTAATAAATTAAGATTTTCTGAAGAAAAAAAAAGACTATTTTAATCATAAAAATAAAATAGAGGAATATAAGCATGATAAATGAAATGCATGTGCAGGGCTGTGATCAAGAGCGTGAAAGAATATTGCGTTCACTACGCCGACTGCAGTGTGATGATAGTGAAGCAACCCAGGCAGAAGAACTAAAGACTTCCTTTTATCACAAACCAACCAAACAACTCAGGTTATTGCACAACTTAAAAGCGCCTATAAGCTCTCAAGCTTATAAATAAGGACATGAAAATAAATGTCCATTTTTCATATATATATATATATATATATATATATACAACATAAGCTGTATCTATAATGGGCTCCTTATGTAAAAGAAACATTAAGAAAATATTTACTGGAAACAATAAAATATTTTCAATTTTACCTATAAATTCACTCAAATGTCCATGTTGATTTGTTATTGGTATGCATTGCACTAATCTCAAAGTATATTAACAAATATAAAATCCATGCCAACCGAAATAGAATAACGTTGTTCAAAATTTCTAGCACAAGGAAGCAAAAACATGTAAACCAAATAAACAGGAATCTATAAGCGTGACACTTTTAAGAGTATATATGATTTGGAATCAAATACAAGGAGAATAGTTAATTAAATCCAGCCAATGCAACAAAACTAAGACAACATAAAAGGGGCAAAATTGTCAAATTCCTGCACTAATAGCTGCCGATAAATAGCAGAAGCAAAAGTCTTGCTCAGCCTGAAGGAAATCATCCTTAGCACTTGATCTCCTTCAATCCATAGGCAAAATATAAGAAGGTTGGATCAGTAGCACCCTCCTTATAGTGTGCAAAGACCAAACTGCCATCGTCATGCATGCTCTCACCAACAAAACTGCTCACAAAATTATTTTTACAAAGTTAATGTTGAAGCCAAAAGAAAGTTATGACAATCCAAGGGACATATACTTAAATTTATACTTGAATCAAATTACACATGCTTGTATATCATAAAGCAATCTTTTTAATTTCAAAGTAGACATGCTTTGTTAAAAAAAAATATTTATATTTTTTTAACATTACTAAATATAACAACTAAATTTAAGAAATTTCAAAGAAGGAAATTTAGTTTTTTGGCCACCGAACAGAACAAAATTAGGATTCATTTTTTGCGGCTGCAACTTTTTATAAAAAATGATTATAAAGCCTAAATACCGATTTCCCATGTGCTAGGCCCCATGATAAGAGTCTGCGTCATGTGCCTAAATATTAGAGAACCCAACGCCACTGGGGATCGAACTTATGACATATAATATATTTTAGATTGGGCTTTCAATATATATATATATATATATATATATCTGTGTGTGCGAGTGTACGCGCGCACGCGCGTGTGTGTGTGCCGCGTTCCCCAACTCCTTGATTGGCAACTGTTATGTTAGTTCTAAGTCCTCTGGGATCAGGGGTTCGATCCCACTGGTGTATGGATCCGTCGAGTGATTAGACACATGAGGTTGGTTGGGAGCTTGTATCATAGCCTCTACCAAATCTTTTACACACACACACACACACACACACACACACACACACATACATACATATCACTTTAATATATTTGATTTCAAAAACAGTTTCCAACCATAAAAAAATTGTAAAATGATGAAAAGTAAATTAATGAAAAATCTATCCCAAAGGACCGATAATCTAAATAAATACCAATATCAATCTACTCCAACAAACAAATAATTATCAAAACAAGTAAAAAAATTATAAATACTTACAATTGCAAGTCATTTAATTTTGAAAGCAAGAACTTGGTAGCACTCTCGATGTGCTTCTTGAACAAGTCCTGCTTCTCTGCCTCCAATTTTGGTGTTAAATTCTTAATATAACGCTTCATAAAAGTGACAAATTGCTTTTTGTCGAATGAAGGTTGTTCCTGTCATAAATATTAGAAACAGGGAATTAGGATTCATACATAAACATGGCCTAAATTGCCAAAAATCAAACTTAACAATGATTTTTAAAAACTCAAATGAAATAAAACAACCTGCAGCCGAAAAGTGTCAACAATATCAACTACTTTAATTGCTTGATCGTCCACACCCTCGTCTTCCTCGGCACCCTCAGCTGAAGGATTTGCACCAATGTCCACATTAAGGGCACCTTGCACTACCCACTGTTTAAACAATAGTAATGTTCTTTGAGCAAAAAATTTAGAAAAAAATCCTCAAGAAATAGCTAATAGAAAGAAATCAATATAAAAATCATTTTTTTATTACCTTTCCTTGGACTTCCCATAGCATCCCATTCTCAATTTCGTTATAAGAAAATGAGTCTGACAAAAGCTCGTCGCCTATATGATATAGAAACAATCAATGTAAATAATCATAGGACTAACACTTAAGAAGGTGATAAAGGCAAAAAAAGCATACAGCGATAGAAAATCAAGCAAAATAAAGAAAGAGTAGCAACATCTCCTTTAAATATGCATAATCTCTAATAAAATGATGCCGAATATCAATATGTCTTGTCCTAAGAATGATGTATGGATTTTTTTGTAATACATATAACACATGCATTGTCACACATTGTAGGTATGGTTCCCATTTTAAGCCATAATATGTTTATTAAAGCTCTAACTTGACAGGCCTTTTATGCATAGAAAAATTTGATGAAAGGGTAAAAAAAATACAGAAAAATTTACATACAAATGACACAATTCTTATGCATTGATATGTCTTACACTCAAAAGTTTGATATTTACACTTATTACACCTTTGTGTCATAAAAGCATGCATCAAAATGGGTATTTCACTTTTACATGAAAGTTTGATATTAGATGTCATAAAAAGGTAGTGATTGTGATATTTTTTTCGTATGATTTCAAGGATTTGAGTGGTATGCATTTAAATATGAATGTTTAGGTTTTAGATATGTAAATACATAAGATTGTGTCGTATGTTTAAAAAGTAAAATATAGTGTTTCAATCTTCTTAAGAGTACATGCAAGAAGATGATGAAATCTTTATGAACAAAACCAACAAAACTACAATGAAAATCCATACAAGTAAGTGAGATGTACAAAAGGATTGCACATCTATATAATAAAATAGGAAATACATAAGCTTCATTGACACATGTTTTCAAATAAGTACGTTAGATTAAAAACATTGCGGGGGTGAGAGTCTAAGGTAAGTCAAAATAAATTAATTTTTCCAATGGCTAAACAAAACAATATCTTTCTAAAATTACATCAATCAGGGATGTAAATAATAACATGAGCAACAGATTATGGTAGATCTAATTAAGGGTCTGTTTGGTGCAGCTTGTGCGTCTCAGGATAAGCTGCTTATCCTGACACGCGGCCGGCCCGCCGCGGGGGTCACCCAAACGCAGTTTTGGATAATCTGGCGAAACGTGCAAACCAAACGGTACGGCGGCATTTTGAAAACGCCGCCCGCACTTATAAGCTGCCCCAAACGGACCCTAAAACATCAGCTTCAGTGGATCCAAAAGGGGTTTATGATAGCAGAGAATTCAGCTTCAAGTAGATTCAATATTATGCCAAATATTCTAAAATCCTCCACAACCCTAACTTGAAACTTACCAACCAAAGCAAAAAAACTAAACCGAAAATCAAATGGATTAGAATTTCCAGACACGACATTAAAATTGAGAAACAGCCGCAAATAAAAACCATCTACAACAAGAAGTTGGATAAACCAAACGAGGTCTGAATTAGGAATCAGTTTGATCAACAAAAACAAACCCATCAAATTCAAAAAAAAAAAAAAAAACAAATAAAAGATAACAAACATACAGAGCCGAGAGCTGTAGGTTTACCTGTGAGGAGATCCTGGTAGACTAGCATTGTTTCTCTCAAAAACGCAGATTATCAACAAACCCTAAAAAACTGAGGAATTGAAGAAGACGATGTAGGGTGTTAGACAACAAGATCGAAAGAAGAGGAAACGCAGCACCGTGAATTTATAGGCAAAAAGACCGACAAATCTCAGGGGTATAGGGTTCTTCCATATACATAAAAATCGCGAATCTTGCGTCCATCATGCGGCAAATTCGGAGACCTAAAGCGTTTGAAAATCCAGATGTTGTTGCCGAAAAGGAAATTTGAAGAAAATCAAGATGGTTGGATTTCCTGCGAATCGCACTCCGACGGCACAGAATAAACAGGGGAAGAAAAAGAGCCTTTTTTTTTAGGAAAGTAAATAAATAGTTTAAATATTATCATCGGTTACGTACCCACCACCCAATTTTTATAAATCTACATATTTAACCCCTAATTTTTTTTTTATTTTATACCACTCAAATATTTCATATCACATAAAAAAAAATATATCATCATAGATAGATATAATAAGGTGAGATATATGTAAAAATTGAAATTTATACATAAAAATTGAGTGATATATATATATATATTCTTTG